TTTTATTAATATTTAATTTAAACTCTAAATATTTACTTAAAAATGTCGAAGTTAATATTTTTTTTTTATCTATAAGTAGCTTTTACAATTATAAGATTTTTTATTACTTTTAAATAATTTAAAGTGATTTTTTTACATATAAGTAACTTTTTACAATTTAGAAATAAAGAATAACTTTTATATAAAAAATTATTTAAAAAAATATTATTACTAATGAAATTATAGGAGTTGATAGCATGAGAAAATATGGTAGTTGATAGCATGAAAAAACGGAGAAAAAATACTGTTTGTCAGATTCAAAACATGTAAGGTGCAGGTATAATAGAAAATGACGTTATTTATGGAGACCAATTAAAAAAAATAACAAAATATTATTTAAAAACATATTACTACTAATAAAATAAGGAGGGAATATGAAAAAAATATTTTGTATTCAAAAGTCAAAAACAGTTTAAGAACAGTTAACTCAACCAAGTGTGAAAAGGAGGGTTACAAGAATACATAGTAAATACCAAAGCCTTTCTTATAAGAGAAGGTAGGATTAAAGTGATTTTTTTATTTATAAGTAACTTTTTATATTTTAGAAATAAAAAATAACTTTTATATAAAAAATTATTTAAAAAAATATTATTACTAATGAAATTATAGGATATGGTAGTTAATAGCGTGAGAAAATAGAGAAAAAGTATTGTGTATCAGATTCAAAGCATGTAAGATGCAGGTAAAATAGAAAACGACATCGTTTCTGGAGATCAATTAAAAAAAAAACTATAGTATGACAAAATATTATTTAAAAATATATTACTACTAATAAAATAAGGAGGGAATATGAAAAAAATATTTTGTATTCAAAAGTCAAAATCAGTTTAGGAACAGTTAACTCAACCAAGTGTGAAAATGGGGGTTACAAGAATAAATAATAAATTCCAAAACGGCTCTTATAAGGAAGGTAGGAAAATATAATTATTTATCGTTCAATTTAATAAATTTTTTATTTTAATATTATTTTTAATTATGATTCATATTTTAAAATATAAATATAATATAAATATAAGACCGAGGAGACATGAGTCTGGACAGGGCTGACTGGGTAATTTTGCCACTAAAAAGAAACTTTAGGGACTAAATTTATACTTTCTTAAGTATGGATTAAAAGGAAATTTAATTAAAAGATTGAGAACCTTTGCTGCTATTTTTCCTTTCCATTTTGGAAAAATTCACAAAGTACATTTTGAAAATCAATCATTTGCTACAAAACGCTTTTCTCATAAGGCAAACACAAATTCACAAAGCAAATTTCTAAGCTTCATCAGTACTCAAAGTTAGAGGTGGCAATTGAAACGAGTCGCTCAATGGTTCACCCGCTCACCGCATGGACTATGCAGGCTCGTCTAGGGACTAGATCAAGTACGAGCTGAATCCAAAAAACTTTGGGTGAGTTGAGCTTGGACGAGCGCCTCGTGAACTATGCCTAAAAGCTGCTCATGGGAGCATCACCCTCGAGTGTAAAAAATGTTACCACACGGTCACATTTTGGTTACTTTTTTACATTTAAAATCCTTGAGGTCCCTAGTGGACACTTCATTTTTTTTCAATGAAAAACCTACAAATATCAAACATTTCAATTTTGTCTGAAGACTGTGTTGTTGCAGTTGAATTTTTCCTTTTCCTAAAATTATTTCTAGAAATTAAATTTTTTGTTTGTTTATTTCCATTTTTTTTTTTACTTATAATTAGACTATTTTCTATGAACTTATTTAAGACTATCTCTAATGCTTCAGAATTTTTTTTTAGAATTTTTAGTAGAAAAAATCCAAATGATAGGGGAAAATCCTATAAAAAGTAAGAAAAGATTTGTAGATATGTTAGATGGTCTTATTACTTTTAAATCTAATAATTCTTTAATCTGTATATTAAAGTCTTCTATGTCTTGATTCATATGTTTAATTTTTACCGTTCTAATTTTTATATTTTCATTTATGATTTCTAATTTAGCTCCTATTTTATTTTTATCTCAATGTTTTATAGGGTCTTCTTCTTTTGTTTAGATTTTTTCTGCTAATTATAAAATTCTATCTATACTATCTAACTTCGATGATGTCTTATTAAAACTATTAATTCTTCAAGAGGCTAATCAGCTGTGTAAAGGCTAGTAGTACAGTTAGCGGGCGGGAGGGTCTATATTTTCGATTACTCCACTCATTTCGTATAGTATTCGACTTGGTTTAACAACAGCTACCCAATATTCAAGGGATCCCTTTCCCAGTATAAAATTAGTCTTCAATGTTTCTAATGATAAATGCTTTAAACATTCTAGATTTTCTAATTTTTCTAAATTTTCATCAAGGTCTGGTTCTATTTGTGATAAGGGTTTACCATGCTTTGCTCGCAACTCTGATGATTCTATGGTATTAATAGTAGTGGTGTCTTTTCCATTGACACCACAATCCCAATTTTATAATGATTTTCCGATCTCAATAACATTCCAATTCTCATAGATTTGAAAATTGAAGAGAAGCATGGGAGTAGCCATCCAATTGATTTAGATGACATTGATGAAGAAGCAAAACTTGAAGTCGTCAATACAAGAAGGAAGCGAAAATTCAAAGAAATTGCGAGATGTCAAACTGGTTTTCACGGGTCGTACAATAGACTAGGGGTACAAACGAGTTGAGCCTAGCCGGCCAACGAGTCGAAGATCACGGCTAGGATAAAAAACTGTTCGAGCTTTTTTGACTCGTGTTTTTGAAATTTGTGAGATTCAATTTTTTAGTAATATAATTATAAGCAATCTTGAAATCCAATTATTTGTTCTAATATTAGACACATCATGTTATTCATTTCAACATTTTAAACTTCGGTCTATATTAAGTCCCTTGATCGGTATAAATAAAATTAATTTTTTAGTAAATTTAATAAAATATAATGAAATGTATGGACGAAAAATTGTAAAATCTATAAAATATACTATTAAAATTATTTGTTGATTTTTACTTAACTTTTTATTATTAACACGTTATATGATTTTTACAAGGCGGTTGTAGCTGCCTAACGTAGCTACAGCTGCTTCCATTTCAAAACACGGGCCTGTTGCCCAGGGCCGGTCCTGTGATTAACGGGGCTTGAGACAAAGTC